AAACAAACAATTCTGTTCCAGAAACATGTAGGTTGATTAAACAAGCACAGTGGAACACAAAGTTGAACCCAACAATCACCAATGCTAAAGACAATAGTTATCTACCTATTCTTAAAAAAACTTCAATCTGTTTTGGTCATAAGACAAGGGACAAATGCATTCATCAGAGACTTGGTTGAAAACCTTAGGTTAACCCAAAGGTTACTGATGAATTGAGACCAATTATTGAAGCTTCGTGTTCTAAAAACTTGTCTTTCTAAAAACCAAGTGTTACTCAAGTACCACCCCTTCACCTTATTTAAGGCATCTGGCGGGCGTGGTGGCTCACATCTGTAATCCCAGCACTTTCGAGGCTGAGGTAGGAGGATCATTGTGAGTTGAGGCCAGCCTGGGCTACAAAGTGAGCTCAAGGCCAGCCTGAACTGCATAGTGAGACCCTGTCTCAAAAAGACGAAAAAAGAAAAAAAAAGGCATCTGGAAATTCTTACCTTACAGTCTACTTGGCTTTTATTTTTATCACTGGATTCCTGTACAGCTTTCCCAGGCCATATACGACTAACAAAAGGTGAAATCAGAGGGTATATGTATGGCTCCAGGAATTTTTTGTAGATCCACAGCAGAACTGGAATGACTATGCAGGGAATGCACACCATTGTCACAGGCTTGAGGTCCTAAGCCGCTGATACATATGAAGGAAAAATCAGTTTACCTTAGATTAGTGACAGAAGGATTTTACCTAACTTAAGGTAGCAAATCTACAATGAAGAAAAAAATTTCAAGCATTATTTGTTAAAAATATATTAAAAATTGGCAAGGTATGGGAATGACAGGTGGTAGACATGAATGGTGAGATGCGAGTTTATGAACTTTCCAATCACTGCTCCTGAACACAACTAACTCATTTAACCTACAGAAAAACAAAACAGGGTGGCTGAGTACTCTTGCTCTCTCCAATTACAGGTAAAGAAAGGGAGGCACAACACATTATGACTTACATTCCTTTTAAATATAGAGAGCACTTAGGGTGAATTAACTCCCAATTTCTAAGCTTCAAGATCTGACAATATCAATTAGCCAAATCTTGGAAGGCTAAAGACATTCTGTAGTATGAAACTTACCAAGATACCACTTTGGAAGATTTGTAAGGTAAAAATCAACTGGCTTTTCCCAGGCAACAACTCTCCTTTGATACACTTTGTTTTTTCTCTCCCTTCCTCCTTTTTCCTGAGCTGGAGCTTGAACTAGGGCGATGCACACGCAGTGGTCTTCCACTGAGCTACATCCACAGACCTCTTTTTCTTTATAAGGACATAATTTAAGATGTGCTGTGTGTTAGAAAATTTTACTCAAAGCTGTGTGTAGTGGCACACCTGAAATCCTAGCACTCTGGGAAACTCAGGTGGAAGGACTCCAGTGGAGGCAAGTATAGCCAATTTAGCAAGACTCTTACTCAAAATAAAAAGTCCTGGAGATACACAGCTCTGTGCTACAGCACTTGCTAAGCAGGTGCAAGGCCCTAGCTTCAACATCCAGGAAGGCAGGAGGAGCATGCCCAGCTTTAAAAAACAAGCTTCAGAACAGCATGTGAAGTCTAATTCAAGATGTTAAAATTTGTTTTTATATTTTTGTTTTTTTGAAACAGGGTCTCACTATGAATTGCAGGCTAGCCTTTAACTCAACTACGTAGCTCAGGCTGACCTCAAACTCACCATGATTGTCCTGCCTTGGCCTCCTGAATGCTGGGATTACAAGCACGCACCACCATGCCAGGCTGATTTTGATTTCCAAAATATTAAAATAAAAAATTAAGAATGTAACAAAACAATCTGTCTTAAAGAACATAGCCTCTGAGTGCAATAAGCCAAATGAGCAGTGATTTTTAGCATCTTTCAAGGAATTATTTTTGGCCACAGATATTTAGAATCTGATCTACAGACTTTAGAGGTGATCTGGTCAGTCTTGGCGCACCCTCTTACAGGCACCACGGTTTAGTAGTTAAGCAGATTCCACTGCAACTGCCTGGACTTCAGACCTGCTTCACCGCTTTCTACATGGTGTCTGGGCAAATTATTTAATCAGACTGCACTTTAATTCCCCTTAAGTTTTAAAGTTAGATCGTATCCCATCTCAGGAACGCAGTATGGGTTGGGATGTGTGAATACAAAGCTCAGTGTCCTCACATACCGTTACTTTAAAAAGGAATATAAAAAGATGCAACAGTCGTGATCTGTCCAACTTTTACAAAGAGGTTAAAAGAGTTGACTAAGACCAGAATTCCTAGTTCTCGTTCCCTAGCTCTAAACTCTTGCCTTTTCTTCCTCCAAAACCCACAATGGCCATAATTCTTTTACCAAACTTTCAAAATCAATTAACCTCTTTTAGGACAGAGGGAAATTCTACCAGCATGGTTAAACTGGTGACTGGCAGTTCATCATAAAAATTTATTTTTGGCTGGGCGTGGTGGCGCACGCCTGTAATCCCAGCACTTGGGAGGCTGAGGCAGGAGGATCGTTGAGAGCTCAAGCCTAGCCTGAACTGCATAGCGAGACTCTGTCTCAAAATGACAAAAAATAAAAAAAAAAAAATAAAAAAAAATAAAAAAAAAGAATTCATTTTTACCTTTGTAGGTGATGTCTTAAATAAGTTCTCACCATGTGAATAAATTCTCAAAAACAAATAGTACTAATCACTTACGTCACAATTATGGCTTTCGTAAAACTTTAGCTCCGTTCAGAAGGAAGCTATTTGTATTTATCTCCTTATCCTCATAAAAGTCTTTTCGACGTTTTGTTACACATGGACAGCGGTTTAGAAAAGCCTAGAAGGTGGCGCAGAAAAAGTCATCATTTTGACTACTCTCCAAGCAAACAAAGTGAGCAAAATGGATTAAACCACTGCGGAGGAATCCCCTTTCACTCGACTTAGTCTCAGGCTAAGTCAAAGGAGACAGGAAAGGAGGGAGGGCACAGGCAGGGCCAACCGCGAGGATCACGGAGGTGGAGTGATGCCAACAGGAAACACAGAGAGGCGGGGCGGAGGAACCGAGAGGGGCAGAGCGGAGAACGGCCCGCGGCACGGACTGGGGAGGCCGGATGGCGGGGCACGCGAGGGAGCGGGTTATACCGTGAGTCTGGCTCGGTGTTTTGAGCTAGGGGCGCCGCAAAGCTGAGCAGCCAGAAGAGTCGCGCACCGGCCCGGGACTGCGTGTCCACGGCGCGCTGGAGCCTGTCGATCCACTCGGAAGCGCAGAGGACTGAGCTCAACCGGGCCGAACTCGCACGAACCTTCCAACAGCAGCCGGGTTCAACCACTACCACAAAGCCCAGAAGGCAAACGCCGCACTTCCGGCGGGAGGGGCGAGCGGCTATCCAGCCAATAGGCACGTCGCAGGGGCCGACAAACGCGCGTTTACTCCGCTCAGCCAATGGGCACCTTCGCAGGGGCCGACAAAGGCGTGCTACGTCAGCACGAGGACGTATAGATCGTAATGTTGACACTTAGGCGGGGCTGGTGCTGGCAGCGGGTAGAGCAGTCAGAGCTCCGAAAAAAACTGAGCTAGACCTTATCCCCGAATACAGGACAAAAAGGAAAACACTGAGAATGACCCATGTCAGTGGCCCAACACCCACCGGAAAGGTTTCACGGCCCAAATGCATACGCAGTCGTGGTTTGGCTATTTGATAAGACAGTTTAAGCACTGTATCTTATTCAAGGACAGGGGGATTTAGGGTCAACTTTAAACCTGAATACAGCGCATCCTGAACATGTGGGATGTTGTGTTTGCAGTCTCTAGCACCAGCGTAAAAGTTGTCAATAGGAGCCCTCCCCTGAGAATTTACTGAGACCTCCTTTTAAAGGCCTGGGGATTGGCTTGCTCCCTTGTACAGAGCTTAGACTCAATCCCTGTACCAAACTACCACCAGGATATCACCTGCACAAGTAACTAATCTGCACCTCTGATACGGCACAACATTGCGGGGCCTCTTCAAAAATGTGTGACACCACCTCAAACGCTACTAATCACAGCATTCACCTTCTATACTGGGTATTGAACCCAGGACCTTCACAGCTAGCTACATCCTCAGCCCCTTGAGATGGTCTGGGTTCTAACTTAAGTCTCCCAGAGCGCTGGGATCACAGGCACCAATTCCATTTTTGAAAAATATAAATGAAAATCATGCTTACAAAATCTACGAAGTTTTACATCAGAATCATGTAGTAACACACCCATCCATGGAGCAAGCATGGTATTGGCATATCTACCTAATTCCTGCACTCTAGATTTCAGTAGGAGTGCAAATCTGTCCAGGTAATTTAGTGAGACATGCAGCTCAGTGCAAAAGTCCTGGATTCAATTCCCAGTGTGGATGGCAGTGGTGTGCAACACCTAACTACTCCAAACTTCCTTTATGGGACAAGGAAAATACTCTACAAGGGATTGTAGTGACAGGATGCTTAACTGTATTAAGCTGTGAAACCTGCTTTTTTGGGTTTTGGCACAAGGCTTCACTATGTAGTTCTGTCTAGCCTCAAACTCGGAGGTCTTCCTGCCTCAGGCTGCCCAGTGCTAGGACAACAGACACATGCTACTGCACCCAGTCTTACTGCATTTTAAATGAGTGTGTTCTACACCTTGGTCAAGATATTAAACCACAATCAGTTTCAGGAATTCCCCTATGCTCTAATTACTTTTTGGGAGGCTGAAGCACACTGGCTCAAGCCCAGTTTTGTGAGCCTACCACTTGTGAACCTATTGCATGCATGCTGCAGCAAGGTTGTCTGTTATCACTGAAAGCTCTAAATGGTTTGCTACCACTGGCTAGGCAATATCCCACCTCAAAAAGTAAACCCACAACAAACGATCACGTTTGAGTCAAAATTAAACCCAGTTGATCCATCTTATTAGGACATCTAAAATGTTTACTAATAATGGCAAACATTACTTTTATTTGCATTTATTTTATGCTTAATTTATTCCCGTGCCATAAGTTTTTGTTTCTTCAGTTTCTTCTGGGATATCTGCAGAAAGAAAGAACACAGAACCATTAAATCTCTAGGAGAAACGCACAACATATCTTGGGGAGGACTTGCTGAAGACTAAAGGCCCAAGAAGAGCAAGGAGAGGATACTATTTAAGAAGTTAGGAGGATAATATTTAACAGAGGTTGTGAAGAGAGAACTACAGAATCATCCCCAGGTGATTTTGTGGCTTAAAGAGCTGAACATGATCGTTTGCTAAAAATAAGAGCAGCACTCTATAAAGTGATGTAGCTAACTGTTGTCAAATACAGTTACTATATATTATTACTAGTCAAGAAACAAATTAGGGTCACCAAAGTAAAAAAAAAAAGGGGGGGGGGCAGGGAAAGGGTTGCTCAGAACAGTTTCCTTTCACAGTGATTCCAAAGGTGTCCTAAGATAGTCATCACAGCAACCAAATATTTATAGTATTCCATACAAATGAAACTGAGGTACTAAGTTGTTTATTACCTTTTTCTTCTGTGCAACTTCCTCCTCTGGTTTAGGAACAATTTGTTCTTTTTCAGTAAGGATCATCTCAATATGGCAGGGGGAGCTCATGTATGGGTTAATCCGGCCATGAGCTCTGTAAGTACGGCGGCGCATCTTGGGTGCTTTGTTCACCTGGATATGTTCAATGACCAGGGAATCTACATCTAAACCCTAGGAAAAGACAAAAACCAGGTAAAACAACAAAAAACCAGCAGGAAAATCAGGTAGTAACTTTTAGCACCACAAACTACCACTGGCAAATACTGATTCTCAACCATGCCTCAAGCCCTTGCTTTAATGAAATTAGCACCCGAGTCATGTAACTTTTAAAGCCAGACACGGTAGCGCACACCTGCAATCCAGCATTTGGGAAGCTGGTGGAGGATTACTTTGAGTTCTTTTCTGGGCCGTACAATGAGTTTAACGATAGGCCGAACTACATAGCAAGACCCTGGCTCAAAAACAAGCAAACAAAGTGAGGTTTTTTTTTCACTGCAGTATTGAGGATTGAATTCAGGACCTCATGTATACTTGACAAAAGCTTTAGGACTGAGCTGCACCCTGGCCCTTTTAATTTTGAGTTCGTCTTGCCTAATTGCACAAGCTGGCTTCAAACTGGCAATCTGCCTGGTTCAACCTCTCAAGTAGTAAAGATTACAGGTGGGTACCATTGCACCAGGGTTTAAACACATGTTTTATTTTTTAGACACAGGGTCTTATTATGTTGCAAGCTGGCTTTGAATTCACTATCCTCCTACTTCAGCAACTGCAGCTGTGTGCCACCATGCCAGGCTCTGCATGTTTTTGAGTGAACTGACTCTAAAGGTTATCAAAATAGAGTGAGAGGTGTAAGATAAGGTAGACCCAATTCCTAAGCCTTCATAATGTAATTCTAGTACTCAACTGGACTCTCAGATGCAAAAGGGTAAAGGATAACAGAGAAACTTGTGCTCTGTCAACTATCACTATTAACTCCTTTATCTGAAATTTACCATTTCTTTTCCTTACAAATGTAGGCAACAAATCACATTAACCAGTAAGGCAATCACTTTGACAACCGTATTACCAAAAGGTCCACAGCACAGGAAAGTTATAGGCATTTGGTAAAATACTGGTTTATGTCCCTGAAGGCTGGTGGGCCTAATGCTCTATCACACACCCTCAGCCTAGGAAATATACCTTATAAGCATTGAGAATAAAAGGTCAGGCTTACTTATTAAAAGATTTTAGACACAATTTTGGCATGAGATTTACTTGCTGAGAACCAAGACAACCAAGGACATGAAGGTGAAACAATCATCTAAACTGCAAGTACACAGGGATATTGAGGATTTGGATACCTTAAGTTCAGCATTACTCTCTGCATTTTTAAGCATGTGCAGCAAAAATTCAGCACTTTTTTTTGGCCATCGACCCTGTGTCCAGCCCCACTGTTTGGCCTAAAAGAAAATAAAGGAAAGCAATTAGACATTTTCCTTGGTTTATATAAACATATAAGGAAAGAACAATTTATTTTGTCCAACATCATGGTTGCTCAGAATATCGTTTATTTCACGGTTAATCCAAAGGTGTCCTAAGTTCGTCATCACAGCAACCAGAAAGCACTTAATAAAGGCAGAACTTACCCACTATACCACCCATTCACCTTTTTGCCTTTTCAAATATCAACCAACAATTCTCACCTGGGCACACCTACCGACGCCACCATTGTAACGCCTGAATGGCACACACTGCTTCTTTAATGTGACATCTTTTAGATACTTGGTGGCCTTTCTGATATGCATACCCTTGATGGCCTGGGCAGTTTCACGAGTATTCTAAATGAGTAATGAAAGTTTCAGTTAACCATGTGAAAGCATTAGTTTTTTCAGCAAACATTGAGACCGGGACTCTGAAGCTAAGGAAAATTAAACCGAACTGTTAAGTCTATTCACAGTAAAATATTTTTACATTCCAACACTTTTTATTTATAATTTCGTGTCCCTGACCTGCACACTGCTTTCAAGTAGTTTTTGGTAGTTTTACTTCCTCAAATTCTAAATCAAAGTGCTCATTATGCCCTGATGGTAGTAAGGTAGCATCGAAGGTAGCTGCTCAGAATTTATTAATTTTCATGGTAAATCCAAAGGTGTCCTAAGAAAGGCATCACTGCAGCTACCTTTTTAAGGCAAAAACTATCAGTAGTACACATAAAACTTCTTTAGATCTTAGTCATAATTTCCATACCTTAAAGTGAACACGAAGATTTGAGCCCCTGGATTTGCATGCTAGAAAATAAAAATGTTTTTGTTAATTTTGGATTGTATATTCACCCCAAAATAGGAAAAACAGAGTTATGTTCTACTCACTCACATTTTGTGGGGTTTTCTGGGTCGAGAGAGTAGCGAACCATTTTCGCAGGTCACCTGGAAGGCAGCAGCATTCTGTCAGTAACAGGTACTTGCACTAACTAACGCAATTTCATTAAGCACTGATGCGAGGGCTGCTCAGACAATAGTTGTTTTCATTTTTAATCCAAAGGTGTCCTAAGAAACGCCATCATCGCAGCCACGCTTCCCTCCCCTCTGGATAGCCCAGTAAGGGGAGCACCAACTACTAGCGACACGCGTCGCACCAGCCCTCTCCGCTCCCCTCCGACAATTCCAATCCAAGCCCAGCTCTTCCGGGTGTAGCGTGACGCGCGCGCACGGCCAAGTCCAAGGCCAGCCTTGCGATCGGTGCAGAAGCCCCCTCACCCCGCAGCCTCCCAGACGCGGCCGGCCACCCACGCCAAGGAGTCCCGCGTGCGGCCCTCTGCCGACAGGGCTGCAGCCTGCACCCAACTTTCTTTCCTCTTTGCGCGTC